ATAATTATACTTTAGATAAATCTAAAGTAAAATAAAATAAAACCGGTTTTTCTTTAAAAATGCACTTATCGAGATTTAAAACTATTTTTAGATTATATGGTATAAACCACGCTCAACTCAATACAGCTGAACATGCAGTTTTAGATTATAAAATTTCATTTAAACCCAAGAACCGGGCCGACATTTAACTAGCTAGAGAGGTCTGTACAGTACACAGATTATACCAGGCAAAACATGACAGTACACCAAATGAATAGTTTTGTATTTGTCTTGTGTTTCAACTTTCATTCCGAACAAATTCCAACAGACAAAGCATCTAAATATGAAAAGTTGTAATTTCTGTTTGTTTGTTTGTACGATCATAACTCAGGAACCCCTGGACCGATTTGCCTCAAATTCTGATTGGATACTCGGGAGAGCCACGAAAATGTTCTTAGGGTGGTTTTGAGATTCTAAGTTAAGTAGATCGACTTTTATAGCGAAAATTTAGTTTCCAGGTAAAATCGACCAAGTGCTGGTAAACGGTAAGAGCAACGTTGAGTACCATGGGCCACGCTGGGTTTCCAAGGTAATGCAATTGTACACTTAAGCTCTTGAAGTATTTCTAAATTCTAAATGTAAAACACGAAAATGATATAGGACGAAAAATATCAGACAAAAGAATGATTGTAATTTTTCATTTTTAATGGTTATGGGTTAATTAAGCATTGTAAAACAACATGATACACAGGTGAAATGATATAACATTTGTCTTCCTTTATATAAATCTGCAATAGTTCTGCACAAGTTTAGGAATTTGTGAAATTTAGAAAAACAAAATAAGAAGTCTAAATATTAATAGAAATAGAATTTTTTAAACAAATTTTGCAAAATTATGCATAAATTTATTTGCAAATATTGTGTAATCTGTTTGCTTTTGTTATAGGATTTCCAAAGTGCTATAAAACGTTGAAATCCAATGACTGGAAGTAGGTCTAAATATAGATTTAGTCTAGTATAGGTATAATAAGGCAATTTAGGCAGTATGTCTAAGGCAGTAGGTATAAAAGCCCATCTTTTAGCCATAAGTGATGGGCATGTGTATAAGTTAAAAAAGTCGGAAAATCAGAGTTTCCAAGCTTTTTGAGTTATCGCAAAAAAACAAACAATAGTAAATAGGGTTAACGTATTCTAACATGATAAGGGTCAAAAAGCGTTCATTATGTTGCCTGTAGAAACATTTGAATACGTTCAACGGAATGAATCCACGAATTCTAAAGAACAAATAAGTTCTGAGATGGAACGTTTTAACTTTTCTACAAAATAACGGCGCAAAGAAAAACTTAGAGATGAACGATCGTATTTCAAAACTAATAAACAAAGTATTTTTTTTTTAAAATGTCGTTTCGGTAACGAATTTACCTTCGTTAATGATCGTTAACGACGTACTTACGTACTAATTATCGAGTATCTAAAATCCATCTCCACCTATAAATTCACAAAGGTCAGATTCCTCTAGGTCGGGTGATAAGTCACAAACATGAAAAACATAAATCAGATTGATAAACTCTTCTTAATACAGAAATTTAAATATATTTTAAGTAATTATAACTTTTGTGTGTCCTCAATAGTGTGGCCTCAGTTGTATCAGTTTGATATCTTAGTAATAATAAATGTGAATGAAGTCTCCTTTAATAGTTACCCGATCTAAATAATGCTATACCTTAGAATTGGTTAGAAGAGTACTATTGAGGGGAAAGTACGAGCGTCAAGTTTATAAATATTATTTCATAAATAATTCGCTATATATTAGAACAACCATATATACGTTTTTTAAATCCTTGTATTTTCTTGGTTCCATTATGCACGGTTTGTGAACTGCCTCTTTATCCAAAACCGTCCTTAACTGGTTAGACACAAGATTAAAGTACAGTTCCTATCTGGATAGAACCAGAAAATTGTATTTAACCGCATCGTACTACCCCGTACCGGGGAAAGGCCCGGTAAGTTGCGCTCGTTTTGCCTCGTAGATAGGTAGATTCCCCTGGTATCGCGTAGCGTGTATTGGCACCTATTTTAGAGCCGGTTGCCAACCAAACTTAAGTAAACTATGAGTTCTCGGACCCGAGGTACCTAAACATTTCTTTAAATTCTTAAATGTATTCTAAGCATCTAAACTTAGTTGAAAAATTAATTTCTTTACTAAGTTACTGTGAGCAATTTACAAAATAATCTTTGTAAATAGTTAAACAATTATCCCTTTTATTGGGTCTATAAAAACTTCTGTTTATTGACAAAACAATGATAATATTGAATAGAATACATAATAAGTTAATAATCTTGAAATATCGAGTTGCAAAAAAAACAAATAAAAACTTTTTAAAAAATTTTCTTAATTCGAACCATTCTAGTATATTCTAAGCAATTTCATTTTGTACCCAGAGAACAACGTAAAAAAAACTTAATTTTTACAAAAAAACTTAAATTTTTTAATTTCTAGAGTGTTTGATTTTAATTTTAATTCAACGTCATTGGGTTGCAAAAATATAGGAATTAGAAAATCAGAGTTTGTGGCTAAATCTTTGTTTCTTTATACTTTAAGCGTTGTTATATTTTGAATTGCATTGGTTATTAAATAAAAATTCCCTCTGCATTGATTTTAAATTTTATAAAACCGCTGCATCTTAATTGAAAATGAAAAATAAAAAAATTATAGATCCTTTCCTCCTTAAGTGTCTTTCACTTAATAAATATTGTTTTTTTTTTCCAGCGACAATATTCCAAATGGTTTAAGTGATTTCCAAAAATATTTATCCTTAGACGGAAGCAACNTTTCACCCTAATAGCAAACCAAGACAAGACAAAGGACCTGTAATTATAATTTAAAGTGACCCTCCCTGCAAACATGGCAATACCCGATTTACAACAGTACCCTTGAAACATTAATCCGATCAGAAATGAAATGAAAAATGCAAAACATATGTTGAATCGGGCATTGTAATCTTTGCATGGAGGGTCACTTGAAATTACACTTACAGTCCCTTTGTAATGCTTTGAGGCAAAAAATGCTAACTTCTATAAATCACCATTCATTTTATAGTTTTAATTATTTTACATGTATTTAGAAGTTGGTATCTTAAGTAAAATGTTTGCTTAGCTTCGTCTATCTATACATATAAATTTTGCTTGTCTTGCTATCTGTTTTTTGTTTGTCTGTTTGTATCCAATCAACGTCCAAACAGCTTAACCGATTGGACCCAAATTTTGTGTGGGACGGTACCTCACATGACCTCAAGGGAAGGTTTATGGATGCTCAGATTTAAAAAAAGTTATCTCCTAAAATTTTAGATTTTTGTAAAATTTTGAAAATCCTCGAAAAAATATGATTAGATCTGCAAACTTTTTTGTTTTTGTTTTATATTGCACATGATATTTTTGTGAAAGGGAAATATATTCGTCAACCAAGATTGACCTTTTTTCAATCATTTCATTGAACATTTAATTGTTGTGAATTATTTGTGTTAAGTCTCTTATTGTATTTGCCGATAAGAAAATATCACCAAAAGATACTGAAAAAGATACTTCAGAAATAAATGATACAGACGCGCAACTAGGACTTTTGCTAGGGGGGGCAATATATTATTTTGTTAGGGTTTGGGGGTGGGTTGCCCCCCTGTTAAGAATTTTTTTTCAAAATAACAGTGCTTTTTTAAGGGTTTGATGTCAAAAAAAGGAAATTTTCAGTTGTTGCATGCAGACTTGGCTGTGTTCAACTCAAATCGTTTTTTTCTTGTATTTAAAAAAATTTATACTTTCAACAACTGTAAAATTAACGATATGAATCAATCAATTCTTTTAATGTGTTCGTGGAGCGCCAAAGAAAATTTGTTAAGTACTTGGTTTGATTACAGATACAATTAACAAGAAATAATCATTTATATATTCTGAAAAAAAAAACATCAAAATACCTTTTAATATAAATCGTCTACATTGAAAAAGGACAGATAATGTTACGTTTTTTTACTGAAGTTATTGAATTTTTGATTGATCATTCTAACCAACATTCATAATCTTATTTCATTTTCGATTTTGTTCAAATTTGCCAGTTAGAAATTTGCCAGGTTCAGTCTTAGAATGTTCTCTAGATTAGAAACTGAGTTTTTTTTACAAACTCAAATATTCTAATCCCTAAATCTTTGCACTGAGTGGTGTAAACCTTTGATATTTCAAGCTTAAACTATTTTACCAAAATAATTCTAAGTTTGAATACAGTTCGAAACTTTTTTACATTAAACGTTTACCATAAATAGCCTTTAGCCTTGAGAATTGAGAAAAAAAAATTTTAAACTAACAATAGTAGAATACAATTTCTACAATAACTCTTCTGGTTTTATCATTTTTGACTCCTGTGATACTGATATTCGCCAATCTTTCTTTTCATTCTGCAGGTGGGGGGGCGCCCCCCTCTCAGGTGCTAGGGGGGAGGCGCCCGGCCGCCCCCCCTTTAGTTGCGCCTCTGATAATATAACTTATTATCTTTCTTGAATTGTTTTTTTCTTCTTTGGAGAAAATCATCAAGACACTTTTTTTAATGGAAAAATCATAGTTTTGAAAATTTTGTTTAGAAGATCTCTGCTGAGAGTCTTTGTATTTAGGCATACATACCATGGGGATTCAAATTCAAAACGAAAATCATGCAAATTGTTTCATTTTGCGGCAAATATCAATATTGTTAAGAGTTTGTGCAAAGGAATTGAGTCTTTGCCACAAACTTATATTATGTAATCCGTATATCTTTGCAACCTGATGGTGTAAACCCTTGATATTTCAAACTTGGATTATTTTATCTTACAGAATTTATAGTTTGAAATATCTAAGGACTAAAAAATTGGGTTTTAAAGATATAAAGATTAGAAAATCTGGGTTTGTGACAAAGACTCAATTCCTTTGGTTCAACAAATTTCATATTTTCTCAACTATAAAATCTTTGCAATTCTAATAAAGTGTAATTTCATTTTTAGGTAGTTTGGCGCCACGGCAGGATACTGTTGAGGATGGGTATGCAAACAGTGCATTTCAAAGTGCTGAATGGGACGATGATGACAGCTATGTATACGAACCAGAAAAAGGTCTGGGAAAGTTCACGGTGGAATCTTTTCCATCTGAACAGAGTTTTATGCCTCAGGGTAAAGATGAAATGGCTCTTCGGCCAACTTTGGAAGAGCTGATGTCAGAGAAGAAAACGAAGGCTGTAGATGAAGAGGCAAATGCGCAGCCTGCTTGTGTACCAAACTCTAAAGCAGTGAAAATGGGCTGGATAGAGGGAGTTCTAATGAGATGTCTTCTGAATATCTGGGGAGTTATGCTGTTCCTTCGACTCTCATGGGTAGTTGGTCAAGCTGGTATCATAGAGGGTTTTTTTGTAGTTACAGTCTGCAATCTTATTACTGCAGTTACAGCACTTTCTATGTCAGCTGTAGCTACCAATGGAAGAATAGCAAGTGGAGGAGTCTATTATATGATATCTAGAGCCCTTGGACCTGAATTTGGAGGTGCAATAGGATTGATGTTTACATTGGCAAATGCAATCTCAGTAGCTACTTACACTCTGGGTTTTGTGGATAATCTTTTAGATCTTATCTATGATGTATCTGACTTCAATGGAATTGTTGCAACAAAAGATAACAGACTAAACGATTTGAGATTAATCGGAGCTCCAGTAATTGTTCTACTGCTAATACTTGCTATTGTTGGAATGAAGTGGGTGACCCGAGTCCAAAAGTTGCTTCTTGTCATGCTTCTATTGGCTCAGGTTGACATGCTTATTGGTACATTCTTAACTGGTGGTTCAGCTTATTCTGGGAATGACGAAAGACATGCTAAAGGATTTACTGGCTGGAGTCTGGACACAGCAGAGAGAAACTATAAAGCCCAGTATTTGGTAAATGCAAATGGATTTCAAGAAACCTTTATGTCAGTCTTTGGAGTTTTCTTCACTGCAGTAACAGGAATAGTTGCTGGAGCTAACCTTTCTGGAGATCTGAAGGATCCATCATATTCAATACCTAAGGGAACACTCATAGCTATTGCTGGAACTTATATATCATATGCTGGATTTGCTGTAGTTGTTGGATTTAACTTTCTTCCTGAAGCTAGTGGAAATATTGAAGAATATGCTAACAACACTGGGGACCTCCCACAAATATATAACTGTACACCAGAAGCGAACGCTGTAAGAGAAGCCTACGGGCTAAACTTTACCTCATGCAAATTTGGATCTGCATATGATCAAAAGGTAATGACCTACATGTCTGCAACTGGATATCTAGTCTACCTTGGATGTTATGGAGCTACACTCTCGTCTGCTATTGCAAGTTTAGAAGGAGCCCCAAGAGTCCTCCAAGCTGTAGCTAGAGACAGGATCTATCCTAAACTTGATTTCTTTGCAGTAGGAACAGGTCCAAGTAATGCTCCACTGAGAGGTTCAGTGTTAGTTTTTTGCATTGGTTTTGGATGCCTCATGATTGGAGAATTGAACACTATTGGAGCACTTGCATCTAACTTCTTCTTGGCTGCCTATGCTCTAATGAACCTCTCAGTTTTCCATTCCAGCATGACCAAATCACCTGGATGGAGACCAACCTTCAAGTTCTACAACAAATGGATTTCTCTACTTGGTGCATTTGGTTGTGTTATACTAATGTTCTTGATGGACTGGGTCCTTGCTATTATTACATTTGTAATTATAGTAGGTCTTTATGCTCTTCTTTTCTACCTTAAACCAGAGGTTAGCTGGGGAAGCTCAGCAGAATCCCTTAAGTTTTTAAATGCCCTGAACAACACATATGCTTTGAATGAAGTAAAAGATCATATAAAATCTTATAGGCCAAAAATAATTCTTCTAACTGGAAACCCTGCTCATCGCCAGTCTCTTGTGGATTTTGGAAATTTGCTGACAAAAAAACTTTCTTTGATGATCTGTACACAAATCATTCCTGTTGATCAGAAAGATCAGATTGAAACCATAAAAGAGGAATCCAAAATATGGTTTAAGAATCATCACATAAAAGCTTTTTCGTCTGTAGTGTTGAATGATTCTTACAGCGAAGGAGTAAAAAATGCTGTCATGATATCAGGTCTTGGAAAGCTTTCACCAAATCTTGTAATGATGGGGTTTCAAAGTAAAAAGGACAGTTTGCCAGCCATTAATGAGTATGTCAACACAATCACAACCTCGCTTCAAGCTCGTATGTCTGTATGTATATTAAGAATCCCTGGTGGACAAGATTACTCAGCATTGATTGCTACAGAGGAAACTGTCATAATCCAAGACACTTTAGAAAGGGAAAAGAATAAGAAGAGAAAGAACAAATCTGTGTACTATGGAAAAGATGGAAGATGCTTGGCTTCCCATATTGTGGATGATATTGAACAGTTTCGAGGAAAGGCAAAGCTTGGCTTTGTTGATGTCTGGTGGCTTTACGATGATGGCGGTTTAACTCTTCTACTTCCATACATTCTTACAACCAGGAGACAGTATAGAAACTGTAAACTCAGAGTGTTTTTCCTGACAGACAAGCCTGGAGAATTCGATGAGGATACAAAATCCTTTGCAAGTTTACTGGCTAAATTCAGAATTGACGTTGCAGCCGTCTTTGTTATCCCTGACATTACAAAGAAAGCCAACAATGAAACATTTGCCGAGTTTCAACAGCTTATCAGTAAATATCCAGCAGGATCTATTCCAAAAGCGGACCTTCATGCTAATTCTGAAAGAACAAATAGATGTTTAAGAAAGGCTGAACTCTTACGAGAACGTTCTCATAAATCTGAACTTATTGTTCTAACTCTACCTCTACCCGTGAAGGAACAGTTTTCTCCAGCTCTGTATATGGCATGGTTAGAGATGATGACTAAAGGTCTTCCTCCAGTGCTTCTTACACGAGGAAATCAGACTTCTGTTTTAACCTTCTATTCTTAAAAAGGTAAACCATTGTTTAAAAAATAATAATTATCATATCCAAGCTGAAATGGAAATGAATACTTGTTACAAGTTCTAATTTGATAATCCTTACATTTTGGCAACCTTATGTTAACCTTTAATATGTTAACTATCAATTCCTTAATCAGATAAACAAAGTTTGAGTGTGCAAAGATACAGGGATTCAAAAATAGTAGTTGTAATCAGTTCCATTATCAATTAAATAGTAGAATTATTTTATTGGAAAAATTGAATATTTAAAATTTATTATTTAAATACAAAATAAAAATCTGCTCCAAGAAAAATGTATGTAAAATTTGCTCCAAAATAAAAATAAATTCAACGTTTTGTAAATAGCCTCGTTTATACAATATTCACAGTTTCGAAATTTACGATTGTAAATAATTAAGAAAAATTTCAGAATCTAAAGATAGCAATACAATCTGGGTCTCACAATCAGGATTTCAACACGTGCAGTAAGTATTGAGAAAGAGCTCAGAACTCAGTCTAACCAAGAAAGAAAATATTTCATGGCCACCTGCTCATTTGAATTTTTTATAACACATTGATAATTCAGAATCTTAACCTGAATCAATATTTGTGCAATCTTTAGAACTTTGCGTTTCTCTCACTACTGTATTTTTTCATCATAGAATTTTGTTGCAATATTTAAAAATGTAACAGTACAAATGTGTAGAATTAAAAAAATGGTACTTCACTTGATTTTTTTTTTGCTGGAGAATTTCTAATTCTTAACCGAAAAAGTTTAGAATACATATTTTACTTTAAATATATATATATATTTATATTATTGATATTTTGTGACATAAAGTAATGATATTTGTAAGAAATAAACATTTATTTACCCAAACGGGTTTTATTAGCTGTAAAAAACAGAAAAATTGGTTATATTATTGTCAATGCGATAGTTGATTCACACTCAGATATTTTAAACAAATTTCAGACTATTGTTACTTTTTCTTGAAGTTGCCTTCTGTCTAATAACGATCACTTTAAAGGGAGTGCGTCTATAAGGAGAAAATTGTTAAAGACGTCTCATACCGAATAATTTAGCGCCCATAATTGAGAAAATTGCAACATACGACTTAGACAGTAAAAAAATCAATTTAATTTCAAAGAAATCATTCAGATATTACAACCTATGGTCAAAGATTATCTTTCGCAACATTTGTATATATTTGATATTTCATACTATAGTTTTGATTTTGTTTTTTGAAATAATATTTAGCTTACAACTTGTTTTCGAACTTTCCTGGAAAATATGAAAATGTCGTCTTCATTACCAAAAATCCTTGAAACAGGAATAAAGTTTTTATAAGTAACTCTCAGATCATAACAATTAAAACATATTATGAAAAATCAACTATATACAAATGTGGCGAAAGATAATCGATGACTATAGGTTGTAATATCTGAATGATTTGTTTGATATTAATTTGATTTTTTTACGATCCAAGTCGTATGTTCCAACTTCCTTAATTTGTATGGGCGATACGCTCTTCGGTATGTGACGTCTTTATTAATTTTCTTCTTTAGACGCAACAGATAGAAGTAAGATTGGTAGCGATCAAAAACGCTTATTTATCGCATTAAGCCTATACCCCCTTTCATTTTTCGCGAACACTCCCTTTTTAAAGAAAAACCCTTTTAAAAATTAGAAATAAAAAATTGTCAGGAAGAGGGAGGGATTGTTAAAAGAAAGGAAAAAATTAAAGTTTTAATCAAGTTTAGTAGGCTGTTGTACGTTAGTTTTGTGGATTTCGAAGCCGATCAAAAAAACAACAAAATCAACAACTAGATTTCTTCTATTAAACCTTTGAAAAACCAAATAGATTGTCAAGTACAATAGATGGCAACAGAAAAATCGACCAACTGCGCACAACGTCATATGTGTCAAATGAAAAAAGACGACATGTCCCCTAATTAGTTTGTATGATTTCCAAGATTCTGTGAAGATAAATGTCGTCTTTTCAGGAATACGTAAAAAATATTTACAACTCAAAATTAGATAGAGTATTTTTACTGTCATTTGGTGGCTTAATTTTTTTCATTGTATATCTATGTAAACTAAATAGTCTGAGGGAGGGGGGGGGGCGTCCAGGCCCTAGCCCTCTAAGTAGCATTAAAGTAAATATTTCTAGGGTTATTAAAGGTTTACTGTTCAATCTCTAAAGCCAGCTAATTTTTTAATAAATTTAGAATTTTAACTTTTTGAAACACTCATACTTTATACGAATTTTACAAAAAATCATTTGGATTATACCTTGTTTTAAAAGTGACACAGTTTTGGTGGGTTAAACAATGACTCAAGTATACACATTATATCATCATACACAAAAATAACAAAAAAAAACAATAAAAAAAATAAAAAAATGTTTTGAACTATTTATTAAAACATAAATTGGCCTTTTGGTTTTTTATTTCGTATCATGTGATGACCTTGTTTGTTTACTAAACCATTTAAATGCCTTATTCTTTGGAATTTTACAAAAAAGGTTGATAATGGAGATTTTGGTTCTGTTACAGTTGTTGATGGGATTGCAGAGGATAAAGGAAATTTCCTTGCAGAGGAGATTTCTGGAAGTTTCGAAAAAGTTCTCAAATTTGGCTTAAAATTAGACTTAGCAAAATGAAGAGCACACACTCGGCTTTCTCCGATTTCATTAGTGTCGTCAATTTTTAAAGAATTCGGCTACAATTCCTGCTTCTTTTTGTTCTTTGGAAATTTAAATCTGGATGTCCCAGGGGGTGGAGGCATCCAGGCATAAAACAAGTTCTTCGCCTGCCCCCTAAATGAAAAAATATAATTAATGAAGACCAAAAATATCATTTAATTCAAAATTATCCAAAATTTTGGCTGCAACAGATAACTTATATAAAATGTACGAAAATTTGTGAATTTTTTGGTTATTTATGAACAAATGAATATATGTAAAAAATCAAAATTTGAAAAATCTGGGAAATCGATTTTTCGGCTCATGCTCCATAATTAAAGAAGTGATTGTAGAATAAAAAGAATGCCTGGAAATAACTGAAATATCGAGATTTCTAATGTTAACATGATTGTGAACATTTCATAAAAATTGTTGCCTCAGTTCCCAATACCCCTACTCCAAATTTTTGTTTGGGACACCCTGTTTATAATATATATCTACATAGACTTTCCAATAATTTCATAATTAAAGCACTTTTAAATTTTTTTATATATTTCGTACGTGTTCCCAAAAATAGTAAAGTAGGACATTTGAGAAAAAAATTAAATATCCATAGAAGACGACATTTCATTAGAAAATTACCGTTTCTTGTTGCCTGTATTTCTTCTGGATCTGGGGGTTTATCCACGATTAGATCGTTCCAGAGCACTTCTCCAAAGATATCATTAAACATTTCTAAAATATGTTCTAACGTTATACTTTCGAATTACAATGTTAAAGGGTTATGTACAATATCAGTTTCAACCCCGTTGTTTAGTCTATAGAACGTTAAATGAAAAATTGTAAAAACAGAAATAAAAATATATAAAATGGCACTAATTTCACTAAAAGATAAGCACTTTAGTCTAAAAATATCACTTTTATTTAATGTTTTGTCAGACAGAAAATTTGACACTTATGACGTTTAAACAGTTGTACTGAAAGTGTACGGATTCTGTGTTGCCGTCTATTGTACTTGACAACCTATTTGAAAAACGATAGTACCTTATCTAAACAAACGATTTTTACAAAAAACGATCGTTTCACGATTGTTCAGTAAGAAAACGAACAAAATATATGGAAATGAACAATAAGTTTGAGAACAAATGGAATAAATTATTTTTTGAAAGAGTGTTAAAAAAAAAGAACGAAATGGGTAGTTTACAAACGATGAACAAACGAAATTTTAAAAAAGCCGAGCGCGCCCTTTTCTACAGTAATCTAAACTTGTACTTTTGAAGCCATAAATCAAAAAACTTAAAGCTGCAAAGTACTTAATTCTGCTAAGTCAGGTGGTCGGTAAATGACGGGACTTTTCATTCCTTATATTAGAATTTACATCAAGTATCTTGTACTGAAAGAAAGCTGAGCACTAACAGTCTTTAAAAATAAGAAATACTTTTAAAGAATTAATTTCAGGTTTGGGGTATCTCGCTGTTTGGAGGGATGATTATTAACAATAAGGACACTAATTACTTCATCAGAGGGATTGTAATTAACACACTCAGGATACTAATTACTCCATCATGAAGGATTAATTACCATCCCTCCATTGGAGTAATTAGTGTCTTCAGTGTTAATTACCACCCCTCCCATGGAGTAATTAGTTTCCTGAGAGTTAATTACCATCCCTCCTATGGAGTAAATAGTGCACTGAGTGTTAATTACCATCCCTCCGGCCTTCTCTCAAGTATTTTTGTTTGTTCGTACATCCCAAATCCTCTATGCTTAACGGTTTATTCTCAAGTTCTTTGTTGTACGGCTTTTTCACAAGTTTTTTTGTTTAATTGCTATAATCTCAAGTCCTTTATGGTTAATGGCCTTTCTCAAGTACTTAATGTAACGTGGAATTTGACTTGTATGTTGTGGAATTTCTTTATGCGGTTCATTGGCTGAAGAGGGAGAGGGAAAGGGGTTGTTCACTCCCTGAAAAATTGGGGGGACGTCCTCCCCTTAAAAATTTGGGGCGCAAGTATAAAGGAAGAGCAGTTACCTTCAATTCTGATTTGTTTCAAACTAACAACATTTCTTAATGAGGGTTGGAAGGCCCAGAGGCGCAATTAGGGGGGGGGGCGGCCGGGCGCGCGCCCTCCCCTAGCACCTGAGAGGGGGGGCGCGCCCCCCCTGCAGAATGAAAAGAAAGAAAGAATGGCGAAAATCAGTATCACAGGAATAAGAAAACCAATTGAGTTATTGTAGAAATTTTATTATATTAGAGTTAGTTTTAAAAAGAATATTTTTATCTTTCTCAATTCTCAAGGCTAAATGCTATTGTAAACATTTAATGTAAAAAAAAGTTCTGAACTGTATTTTATTTGTGTTGAGTTTATAGTCCCCCCCCAAAAAACCCTAACAAACTAATATATTGCCCCCCCCTAGCAAAAGTCCTAGTTGCGCCTCTGGGAAGGCCACCCAGAACAATACTTTTTCCGAGCCCCCTTCTTCACATTTTCACAATTGAGCCATCTTCAAAAGCTCATTTTTACAATATTCTTCTATTGAAAAGTTAATACTTACCCTTTTAAGCTCTGTTTCATAATCCTGCCACAATTTACTATGTAGTTTGGACCCGCCTAACCAGAGTTGGTTGTTTTGATTGGTTGGCCCAATATAAGCGAATACGAATTGTAAATAAATAGATGGATGTACACTGTACAGTGTACATTTTAAACAAAACAATGATGATAAATCATGAATAAGGTAAGGAGGGGCTGAAGAAGTATAAGGGAAAGGGTGGGTACTCAGCGGGATGGTTGTAACAGAGGGCAACATACAATATTAGAATCATGTTTATGAATTACAGGGTGAAGAAGATAGCAAAGACTAAGTTTATCCACATAAAAAACAGTTATTTTTTTACAGATATAACTTGCATAACTATCTAAATAGTTTTTCAAGATTTTTCTTTTAAACAGTTTTGCAGATTTAGTTTCTTTAAGCTCTAATTCAATTAAATTCCATAATTTTGGAAATCAAATTATGTCCATAATCATGTCTCTCGAGCAGAATGAATGAATCTCAAAAAAAAATATTTGGCTTTTACATCCAACAATGCCTTTTTTTGGAAAAAATCTCAAATTAATAAAAAAATTTTAATGATAAATGAATATTTTATTAATCATGTATTTATAAAATATACCTGATTAGAAACTAACAAAACAAGTGTCTTTTGTATATGGGTTAATGTATCCCAAACTATTCATCAAATAATGCAGGCAAATAGACATAATTCAGAAAAAATGATAATATTTTCTATCTAATTCTAAAAATCCATATCCACAAGTAGGGCCGGAGACAAACTTGAGATTTAAATTCTTTGTTCCAAGCTTGTTAACATATGTAGTTAACAATGGTTGATGTTTAACGATAATTGATAGTTGAGAACGACTTTTATTTTAAGAAGTTTATTTTTAAATAGAAAATGCAAAGAATGTTGATTTATTTGGGCCTAAAATAAGTGACCCAAATATTTTGAAACTTATTGTTTTACTATACAACACAATCTACACATACAAAATAAATATAAATAGAATATTCACTATGATTTTCTGTTCATTTAACATCTGTCTGCACATTTCAATCCTAAAAATAAAAATAGAGTACTAAAAAAATTGTTTTCATCAACTAAACTGTTTTCATACCTCTAGGAGTAGAAAGTAAGGACTGAAGACTGATTTCCTCGTGTTAGAAGAACAGGAGGAAGACCTTTAGTCATAACATCCAGCCAAGCCAGGTACAAGGATGGAGAGCTGCCAATTCTGGGCAGAGGCAGAGTTAAAACTATCAACTCAGAGTTTGCAGATTTCTCTCTCAACAATTCTGCTGTTCTGAGATGTCGGTTGGTCCTCTCAGCATTTGCATTCAGTTCGGACATGTCAACAGAATCTTTAGGATACTTAGAAACAATCTCCTCAAATTCTGCTTTTGTTTCAGGTTTAGCCTTCTTTGTGATGTCAGGTATTACCAGAACTTCAGAGAAACTTATTCTAAACTTGGCAAGAAGATTGGCAAGAGATCGGGTTTCACTGTCAAAGTCCTCTGCTTTATTAGACAGTAGGAACACTCTAAGCTTGCAATCTCTGAATTGTTTTCTGGTCTGCAGAATATAAGGAAGTAGCAATGTTAATCCTCCATCATCATATAGCCACCAGACATCTATAAATCCTTCCCTCTTTTTAGTTCTGAATTGTGTAATATCATCCACAATTTGTTTGGGAAGAACTTTTCCATCTTTTCCTCTAAATACAGCAGTAACCTTTTTGTCTTTTTTTCCTTTTTTGTTGGCTTCAACCTCTTCAATGGTGGTTTCTTCAGTTGCAATGTAAGAGGAGTAATCATTTCCATTTGGAAGTCTCAAGATTCCTACTGCCATTTTGTTTTCAAAGGCAAAGACAAGAGTTTGAAAGTACTCTTGTATTGAGTGGATATTTTGGTTGTTACTATTAAATCCCATAATTACCATATTTGGGGTTAGTTTTCCCAAACCAGACAGCAAGATTGAATTTTGAACTCCTAGACTTAATTTGTTGTTTGGAATAATTGAATAGAAGCTTCTGATATTATGATCCTTTAACCATAACTCAACGCTTTCCTTCATACTAGTGATTTGATCTTTTTCATCCTCATTGACAATGTTGGCACAGATGAGAAGAGAAACTTTCTTTGTCAGCAGATTGGCAAAGTCTAATAGTGGCTGTCTATGAATAGGATTTCCTGTTAATAAAAGGACTTTAGGTCTGTAAGTTTTGATATGATCTTGCTGTTCATTTAATGCATATGTGTTGTTCAAAGCATTAAGGAAAACTAATGCTTCAGCAGAACTTCCCCAATTTGCCTCTGGTTTTAAGTAATACATGATTCCATACAGAATTGCAACCAATGCTGTTGTTCCACATGCCAATCTCCAATCAAGTAAAAACATTAGGACAACACATACAATAGCTCCAAAGAGAGATAACCATTTGTTGTAGAACCTGAAGGTTGGTCTCCATCCAGGTGATTTGGTCATGCTGGAATGGAATACAGAAAGATTCATAAGAGCATAGGCAGCCAGGAAGAAATTGGAGGCTAGACTTCCAATGGTATTCAATTCTCCAATCATCATACATCCAAATGCAATGACAAAAACCAAAATGTATCCTCTGAAGGGATCATTATTTGCTCCATGACCAACTGCAAAAAATTCCAACTTAGGATAAATCTTGTCTCTTCCAACAGCTTGGAGTACTCTAGGAGCTCCAACTAAGCTAGCAATAGCTGATGAGAGAGTTGCACCATAACATCCCAGATAAACCAAATATCCTGTTGCTGAAATCAAAGTCATTGTTTTTTGATCATGAGCAGAGCCATATTTGCATGATGTTGCAGATAGATTAAATTCTTCTCTTATTCTATTTGCTTCTTCAGAACAGTTGAATATCTCAGGATACATGCCTGTATTGTTTGTATACTCAATAACATTTCCACTTGCTTGAGGTAGAAAGTTGAATCCAACCAAAACAGCAAAAAAGGCATATGATATATATGTAACAATAATGGCATATAGAGTTCCTTTTGGAATAGAAGTGGAAGGGTCTTTGAGATCCCCAGATAAGTTTGCTCCTGCCACAATACCAGTTACTGCTGTGAAAAAGACTCCAAATACAGACATAAAGGATTCTTTAGTTCCACTTTCATTCACAAGATACTGTTCAAAGTAATTTTTCTCTCCAGTTTCTAGGCTCCATCCTGTAAAACCTTTAGCATGCCTTTCGTCAGATTTCATATACAGACTGTCCCCAGTGAAAAATGTACCAACAATCATATCAATTTGAGCAAGCACCAGAAGCACTAACAGCAGTTTTTGAACTCTGGTCACCCAATCCATACCAACTATGGCTAAAAGTAGAATAAGAACTATAACAGGAGTACCAATCAGTCGTAAATCATTTAGTCTATTTTCAGGATCTGCAACAATGCCCCCAAAGTCTGATACATCATATATCAAATCCAACAGATTATCACAGAATCCCAGAGTGTAGGTTGCTACAGAAATAGAGTTGGCCAATGTAAACATCAGTCCTATTGCACCTCCAAATTCTGGTCCAAGAGCTCTTGATATCATGTAATAGACTCCTCCACTGGCTATCTGTCCATTGGTAGCTACAGCTGACATTGATAATGTGGTTATAGCAGTGACAGCATTGCAAAGGGTCAAAATCAGAAGTCCTTGAATTAAACCAGCTTGTCCAACTACCCAAGAGAGACGAAGAAACAGCATAACCCCCCAGATATTCAAAAGACATCTCATGAATACACCTTCGATCCACCCAAACTTTACAACTTTTCCTGTTAGTGCTGGCTTCACCTCAGCTTTTTCCTCATCAATCCTTTGAATCTTTTCATCATTCATCAACTCTTCTATTGTAGGTCTCTGATCCATGTAAATTTGACTAAGTTTCCTGTAATTTTCTTCAGATGGAAGTGCTTCTATTGTTAGTCTACGAAGACTTTTATTTGGCTCATAAACATAAGTGTGGCCCCCAGAAGCTTGTTGCCCAACAGCCAAGAAAGCTCCAGGAGGTTGCTGAACATTGTCTCCTTCAAAACCAATGTTTTCTTTGCCAGTATCCCCCATGATCTAAAGATGTGAAAAATCTGGTTTAATAAAGCTATTTAGGTTTTGTTTTAGTACAAAGTATACACTTTACATTTTTGACAGTAAGCCCATAAAATATTGTAGAATTTTCACTAAAAATTTACAATTTCTCATTCTATTCATGCTATTTTTAATTTTTCTTTACAAAACATTGATTTTTTTTTTCTTTTTGGAAAGCATTTTATTCAATTGTTAATAATTTTGTAATGAAGAACAACTTTCTTAGACATTCAATGTGTAAAACATAATGTTGACACTCAAGTTGTTACTTAAAGAATAAATGAACAAGACATTTTCAAGCTACACAGTTTTATGGATCTCACTTTAAATGATGGACAGTTAATTTCTTTTTAACTTTTAAGATTTTTTGACTTTTGAAAGGCTCTCCAAAAATCTGAGAAACATTTTCAAATTTCTAAGCCTGTTTATTCTAAACATTTGCTATCAGTACATATTCAAAATTTTGAGCCTGCACAAGACAAACCAAAAACTTAAATTTTTTGGTTTGTTTTTCCTTATATTTTCTCTTGTGATGGACATTTTGCAAAATTTTATGAAGGCAATCTTTTACAGACTATACAGTTCATAGTTAGTGAGTGTCTTTTTAAATTTAGAAAACCTTATAAATTCTAGACAAAAAAAAACAAATTATTGCTCTGCCTTTTCTAAAATACTTCTTTATATTATATTCTATGCAGAGAGCTGAAAGGATTGACACATTTTAAGAAAACCTCTTTTTCCCCATATTGTTTTGCTATAATCTTATTTAGAATTAAAATGTTTAAATTACAAAGACACATTGTTAAGGGGTCACAACCAGGCTAATTTTATTATCCCTGCATACCTTGACTAATCTGGAGAATGCTAGAGATAAAATGAAACACTTGAGATGAATTGACTGAATTTATCTCATTTTAAACACATTGGCCCCATAGTGAGGACAGCTTATCATTACAAGCTGAAGGCTACTAAATAAACAAACTTGTTTATTTTGTATTCAAAGTAGAGTATTCATCACTTTTTATACTAGGCTATAAATCATAGACAGAGATGTAAAAAACAGAATCATATAAGCCATATTTAAAAAAAACAATTTCTTCATTTGATTCTTAAATTGATAACACTCGATTGCTAATGTCAACAGTGCTAGTTTGTGTTTCACATAATAAGGTTTTTATTGGTTTAGTTTTTTAATTTACAATTCTTATATTTGTTTGCATGTGGTATTCACACAAGAAAGATGATTTATTATCAATGACTGGTGAAGATATTCAAAAATTTTATTTCAGTCAAGATTATTAATTAGGTGTAAGTATGAAATGCACTAAAGAAGTAAGAAGTGTCCCACTCCCACCCTCAACCCTCTGGAATCTGGGAAATGGGGGTTAATACACATGTTCAATTTGATTGAAAATTAACTAAATTCTGGGTGTACAAAAAGAAAGTCCGAGAGAGCTAAGAGAATAAAATAACACATAGACTTTGGCTTTGACAACAGAATAAGAACACATGTAGGTTTTTTTCTGGAGAAAAGAACAAAAGGAACTATAACATTCTTTGCATACAATTCTTTCTTTTATTACATTTAGGATTTGTTCTCTACAGACTTAAATTTTAGAAAAAGCAGTGCAATTTTTTAGATTTATTTCACAATCAGAAATTTTTGATTATCTAAAATCAAACTATACAATTGTCAAATCAAATTCATATTTTCTTTAATACACTATATTGCTCAAATATCATTTCAATTGAATTTGGTTATTTATAATACATGTGCTAATTAGTTCCCATCACATATGAGTGCACACATAATATACATAAGTATTTCTTTCATTAAATTACAAAAACACTCGATAGGTTTGATAAATCTTCACAAGTAAGTTTATGAAATAAGCCAGAGTAATATTTTATGAGTAAAAGGTGAGTACAGGAATTTGATTCCCTCTTGTAAGAAGAACAGGAGGAAGACCTTTAGTCATAACATCCAGCCAAGCCATGTACAAGGAAGGAGAGCTGCCAATTCTTGGCAAAGGAAGAGTTAATACTATCAACTCAGAGTTTGCAGATTTCTCTCTCAACAATTCTGCTGTTCTGAGATGTCGGTTGGTCCTCTCAGCATTTGCATTCAGTTCGGACATGTCAACAGAATCTTTAGGATACTTAGAAACAATCTCCTCAAATTCTGCTTTTGTTTCAGGTTTAGCCTTCTTTGTGATGTCAGGTATTACCAGAACTTCAGAGAAACTTATTCTAAACTTGGCAAGAAGATTGGCAAGAGATCGGGTTTCACTGTCAAAGTCCTCTGCTTTATTAGACAGTAGGAACACTCTAAGCTTGCAATCTCTGAATTGTTTTCTGGTCTGCAGAATATAAGGAAGTAGCAATGTTAATCCTCCATCATCATATAGCCACCAGACATCTATAAATCCTTCCCTCTTTTTAGTTCTGAATTGTGTAATATCATCCACAATTTGTTTGGGAAGAACTTTTCCATCTTTTCCTCTAAATACAGCAGTAACCTTTTTGTCTTTTTTTCCTTTTTTGTTGGCTTCAACCTCTTCAATGGTGGTTTCTTCAGTTGCAATGTAAGAGGAGTAATCATTTCCATTTGGAAGTCTCAAGATTCCTACTGCCATTTTGTTTTCAAAGGCAAAGACAAGAGTTTGAAAGTACTCTTGTATTGAGTGGATATTTTGGTTGTTNCAAAGGGTCAAAATCAGAAGTCCTTGAATTAAACCAGCTTGTCCAACTACCCAAGAGAGACGAAGAAACAGCATAACCCCCCAGATATTCAAAAGACATCTCATGAATACACCTTCGATCCACCCAAACTTTACAACTTTTCCTGTTAGTGCTGGCTTCACCTCAGCTTTTTCCTCATCAATCCTTTGAATCTTTTCATCATTCATCAACTCTTCTATTGTAGGTCTCTGATCCATGTAAATTTGACTAAGTTTCCTGTAATTTTCTTCAGATGGAAGTGCTTCCATTGTAAGTCTACGAAGACTTTTATTTGCCTCATAAACATAAGTGTGGCCCCCAGAGGCTGGCTCACCCACATCAAGCATCCCTCCAGCACCAGGGTGTGGGCGATCATTCTTGAAGGCTTGATTTTCAGTTCCTTGTAGCATTTCTAAACATTTGATAATGTTAAGCAATTTTTTCCTGACTAATTATAATATGTTAAATGTTTTAAATATACCTGCAGGTTTGTACAGAAATATCAGAACTGAAATCTATAAGTATTTCTTTGCTTTTTATACAAAATTGTCACTATGTAAATATCTTTATTATCTTATCACTTTTATCAAACCGAGACGGTAAAATTTTCCATTATTAAAAATTTTCCGCTTTGTAAATATCGTCAACATTATTTTCTTAATAAAAATCAAAGCGTAATAATTGCAGTGGCATTCGAGGGCCCCCCCCCATGCGTACCCCCCTCTAAGGGGAGGGGGAATCATGGGGTTGGGTTTCTTTTAATATTACATCTTCCTCAGGCAATCTACATTCTACATTTCATTGCATTTCACGCACCCAAACTAAAAGATTAAGAAAAGAATTAAAATATTAAAATAATTCTGATTCACAACAATACCCTTCAAAGCTTTGTCTGATCAAGTAATGCATTAAAAATCCATGTTTCCCATTTTGAAAACTGAATATTCTTATTTGTGTTTTCTCTACAAAAGTGACTCGTGCATTTCTTGCTTCAGAAGCGATGGAGAAATGTAGGTTTCAAAGGTACATCGGACATGCCACTCTATAAATGGAGGGTCACTTGAAATTACGCATGTATTCCATTTAAGCATAATTACATCGTATAGATAAAAAAATACTTTGAAATCTCACTTTTCTCCTGAACAAAAAAAGTTTCATTGAAAAAGCTTTAATCAATACTGCCTTCAGGGTAGATATTTATTTGATATCATAATTTATTATACAATATGTATCAATCCTAAAAAAATATAGATATTTTTTTTAGAAACTTTTCCATCTATATTTTTCATCCCTTGAATATCTTACACCACAGTATTAAGAGGGATTGCCTGGTTTTGTGCCCCCCCGCCCCTTGGCAACATTGTGCCCCCCCCCTCTTTAAGAAAATGACAACAATTTAAGTTTACATAGTTATCAATATATCAGGTATCAATATTTTTTTCAAAAAAGGGGTTTCTAAGGGGGGGGGGCACAACTTTTTTTTGGCGTGCTGACACATGCAAAATGTGCCCCCCCCCTTCACAAATGCTCTCGTACGCCCCTGAATTATAATTCCTGTTTGGGAAAAAACCTTTGGGAAAGTATCCAACATCTATTAAATTGTAAACAATAATTTGTTGTTAATGATATTAGATTATTATTAATTGCTAACGATGACTGATTGTTCCAAAAATTTATTTTGAACGATATTTTATCATTAATGCTAATTAATTGTTAAACGTTAATTATTGTTGATTCTTAATGAAAGTTGAGCAATAATATTAACCCTTAAAAGTACTGCAGTGCCCAAATGATGAACTACCCCCCCCCTCACAGTGGGGTATCAGGGGGTGGGGTGGGGGGGGTCAGAAATATTGAGTTCCACCATAAACCTCTTATCCAAGTCAAATAAGGATCAGTCGCTTAACTTAAGTGTCTAAGTTGTAGTAATATGTTGTGTTGAAGCTATAAAAGCCGACGGAAAACTGGTAATTTCCCTGAAAACTCTTATAATGGGTATTTTATACAGAAATTAGAGACGATACCCATACATTGGTGGGCTTGCGATGCCCCCAAATCTATGAATATTGGTTGTTAGAATCTATTTTAAAGTTTTACATCTGGATTATCCTTAATTTGTTGTAATTTCGTGTTAAAAAAGCTGTATATATTTTTTGCAATCTTTACGTCTCTATGTACGCAATATTGAAAAGTTACAGGATACATTCAAAGAAAAATGGATGAACAGTAAAAGTAAATATAAATTAAGATCATTATAAACATGGATCAACTATAGGATAAATTGTTGGCGAGGTCCGCCCTGTCTAAGTAGCTTGGCTGAGATTCACTAAACATACATGATACAGCTGTATATACGTGTATAAATTAAGATTATCAACCAATCTTTCTGTAGGATTTATAGGTTATCGTAAATGTTGCGCACAATATTTCTACAATATCAGCTTTTCACAGTGGGTTCATTTATAGTGACTTAGGCCAAATATCACGTTGTGTTAATCTTCTTAAAATAGTATACTAGGACACTCGAGTAACCGAGTATATATACTTTAGTTTAGTTAGTATAAAGGTTTTTAATTATAATTTTACAAAATCGAAAATGTTCTTTTTATTCTTATTCTGTTTTTTTAGCTTTTTGATAGTAGCTAAGGGCGTTGTACAAACTTAGTTTCTAATTTGCAACAAAGATTGAGATAGTGCCCTACTGTACGCCCACTGTGCATCTTGTACAAAAAGGTTCTGGCATTGAGCACTTTCAAACGACTCGTACCGGCTTATCAGACGCCTGTACGCGTCAACCCTGCTTCCTGTCTAGTTGTTCCATGATTATAAATCAATGCAAGCTCGCAATTGATACAATTGTTTAAAATAAAATGTTATCAAAATATATTCATTATCAACTCAGCATGAATCACATTCACAAGGCAAATTCTTGTATCCATATAATATCTATCTTTGTTGAAATGTATAAAATATTTTCTGTATTATGAAAACGAAAGTCCATGGAAATTAATGTAGGCATGATGATTGATGATATACAAGAATTCGTATTGAATTATTATGTTAATATTGACACTATAAGCATGATGCTGTTAAACAAACATTATTTTTAAAGTTTTATTATCTCTCGTGCTCTCGTGGAAACAAGTGTAGTGATCATCATAATTTTTTATCAGAAAGGAAACTTTGAGTAATTGGCATGATATTTATGTATTTACCATGTTAACTGACGTCTCCTGTGCTCAAAATATAATCATTTGTAAAAATTTGCATGGAAAACTTCAACATTTTTGCACGGGAAATTTATTATTCAAGCAAAATTATGCGATAGGATTAAATACACATTTACTTTCTTTTTAATAACTAATGTACAACACAGATTTAAGTTTGAAAGATTACAAATTAAAAGTAAAGTTACTACATATGCTTTGCATGCACTTCTTTTGTTAGTTACATTATTAGGATTCTATTTTGATCAAAAACAGAATAAATTGAGAGTTTTGTTAAAGCATTTATTAAAAAGCACAGAACAAATGATTCAATATGATTTGATATTATACGTACATTATAGTTAAATTTACTAAACAAAACTCAAATGATTAAATGATTCCAGTTTATTATGGATTACATGTAAACCTGTAGATAAACCAATAGATCAATTCTAGAAAAGACAGAAAGCTAAATCCAAGAAATAAACCAAAGTTACCTAAAAAGAATAGTTTTATTATTCTAAATACATGAGCTTAGAAAGATCTGATTTCAAATGCAATCTGTTGCGTGATCCCCATCTTCGTCTAAAGAATTTGCAAATTTAGTGACATAAAGAATTAAGAACGACAAATGATTTTTTCTAAAATTTGTCAGGTAAAAAATTGAAAATATCTTCACTTTTTTACTAACGCAGTTTCGGGCTAAGTTTGTAATCCCCAAAATAAACTCTTAGTATTGATCCTATAGAAGCATAGCTTGTTCTTTGCAGAGTAGCTTGCTTGGCCTGGCTGCGTTTCAAAAGAGGTAGAGAAGGTCAAATGCAGAGAAAAAGATACACCGTTTCAATTAAAAAATTCCTCTGTAATTTCTGTTTGAACTTTAACACACTTTCTTTGAAGTGGATTGAAGATAAAAGAAATTAATGATCTTAAATAACAACCTATTTTTTTAAATTGATAACCGCCATTTTTTAATGTTTTTTTTTACCTCCAATATCTGAAAGAAAACTTAAGGCAGTTTTGAACTCTATTCGCTCATATTCTAAAGTAGAAGTTTTTGTTTTATGTAAATCGACTGCACCTAGTGTTTAAAAGTATTGAAAGTATTACGTAAAGCTGTTGGTTGGGCAAAATAAACAGTAACTGTTGATACATCCTTAGAGAAAGCATCATACGAGCTCATGTCCTAAATATTAAACAATTAATTTTTGCATATCAGTGATGAAGGTCAAATTAATAAGACATTACTTGTACGACTTTGTGACCTTGAAACTCCTTTAGATTTGATGTTTTGCACACATATTTATAAAAAATATTATCAGTTTTCATATTTGAAACATTTTTGTTCTTCCCAATTATGATTTAAAACATGCCAGATTTCAATCTAACGTGCAATTTAATTTAGTTTAACGTGGTATTTTACCTGTTTTAATTCTGAAAATATTTCCATATTTCTAAGAGTTGTTGTTTTATAGTAATATCGTGCTGAACCAAGCTTATTTTTCAGATACGCAGGAGCACCTGTGTTAAAGAGGGCTTCTAGAACATTTTATATTTTTGTATGCTCGTAATTTCAAGTTACTGTTCATTTGAGGACAATGTATGAATGAATTGAGCCAGCCCCTCTTTAAGTGATGATAGATACTTTCTCAAAAGCATTTTCTTAAGCGGCAACTCCCCAAGGTGATTTTTACCAAGTGCCAACTTCCCAAATGTGTAATTTTCGCAGTGGCAACTTCCCAAGTCTGTTCTAGTCACAGTTCTAGGCCCCCTAACTGCAGTGCTCGCCCCCCCCCCCTTCTTTGCAGCCTGCAGCGCCTCTAATGGCCCGAAGTAACCTTAAATGTACATTTGGGAAATTGCACATTTGGGATTGGGAAGTTGCCCTCGGGAAAATATCTTTGCGAAAGCACCCTTTAAATAAACGATGACTTGAAATTACAACAAAAGTGTTTGTATTTTGTGAGATTTAGGTAGATTTCACTTCAAATCTCTCACACCTTCTACTAGTTCTTGGTAAGTTTTGTTGATCTCGTTCCCATAAATGTTTGGGAGAACTGGATCTTCTAGATCACACATTGGACTCTGGTTCAGGTTCTTGGAATCACAAGGTCTAGAAACATTATTAACATTAATTGTATGATTAGAGAGAATTTCAAGTTACCCTCTAAGTGTGAAGTGGTATGTCCGATGCATAAAGGTTCCCCTATAACATTTGTGGAATCAAGGAGGACGGAGATGTTCTGCTTTTTCTGCCAGAAAATTGAGTGCCGCAAGCTTGAGTTTACCAGCACTCAATTTTAAGCTAGAAAATCAGAATTTATCCGTAACAATAGAGATTGGAAATGTCACTATGTAAATGCTAAACTAATTCTTGCTTATACATACACTATACAGTGAAAAACATAAATCTTTGGAATAGGAAGACTATTTTAGGCTTAATTTTGAAATTATATAGTATACTGAAATGAGAAACGGCAGTTTTGCAGTGTAAACACTAAACAGATGTATCCATTTCACAAAATAAACGATTTATTTGCTTTGTAACAACAATAAATAAATTTAATTATTGCTTTAATGACGTCTTCCAATTCCAAAGTTTTCTGGTTCTAACTGTGTGTATATTAAAAATCAAGTTTACCTAATTGCAGATGTGGACTTGATGGATGAATAAAATGTTGCAGTGCAGTCGGGTAAACAGTTGCAAGAGCCAACTTTCTGTTTTTTCATTGTTTGTCGGAACTTACTAGATTTCCACGGGTCACAGGGCGTACCATTGTTTCCTTGAATAAGTCATTATCGCAGTTATACAACTTTATTTGAAGTATTTTTTTTCAATTTGTCAATTAAGTTTTCAAAATAAAATTTATATTCTTTAATAATTCCTGTATGTATTAATGATCCTGGGTCAAAAAGAATTAATCACAGGGTAACCCGCAAGAAATATTCCAAGATAGGTCTAAATCGAATTTGGGGACTAGTGAAGTGCAATGTAGGACTGGTCCTGAAGTGTAATCTAGGACAGATCCAAAAGTGTATATTGGGACAAATCCTAAAATAAATTCTGAGAGAATTTCTACAGTTCAATTTTAAACAGGGTCTAAAGTACAGATTATGGGAAAGGTAATAAAATGGATCATGGGACAGATTGAAAAATCAGTGTTCACATACTTTGAGGCAGATACCATGGGATGCATCCTTCCTCCTGCTCTGCCAATAACAGCGAACATTCAAACCTGATTTATGTCTTCTAATTTTGCATTAAACTAGGCTTTTAATATAAACAAATAAAATCAGATTGAAAATCTAAAAAATAATTGAAATTTCTAATTTTAAAGTCAAAACTTTAACCATATTTTTAAATACATGTAATAAATCCAGAGGCCCATAGTAAATCTAAATAAATTACGTTGTACATTGTTCATAAAGCTTATTGTGCTCATTAGTAAATACAATTGCGATTAACACAAACTGGATACATAAATATATATGACTCCGTCATTCCCATATTTTGATTGCTTAACTACCTTATATTTAATACACCATAACTTGTAATTACACTGTTAAGACCTAACTCTAATCTAACATGAAGAAATATCTTTAGTTGACATAGAGACTCTGATTTGATTACTGCCAAGAGAGTAATTTTGTTCTCGTTGAAACATACGATCTGAGATAACCCCCATTGGTTTGGCGTTGTTTGAGTACGAGCTAGAGTCTGGTTGACATTGATAGCTCATGAGATCATGCACAGTGGTTTGGCATAGAATGATTAATTGCTAGTGTCCCTGTTGACATTGATAGCTGACAAGATTGCTCCCATTGGTTTGGCGTTGATAGATACAACCTAGTGTCTGGTTAATATTGACAGCTCATGAAACTGTGCCCAGTGGTTTGACATCTATCGATTAATTGCTAGCGTCTGTGTTGACATCAATAGCTGACAAGATCAAGCCCATTGATTTGGCGTTGATAGTTCACGGAATATTGTCCTTGTGTTGACATTCTCACAAGAAATAGACGAGGAAGGCTGAGAACAAGAATACCTCTACAGGGGACAGACAAGAACTGAAGATCCCAGGAGATATGGCACTGACAAGTTAAGGCTATTGATGCAAGCATATGCTCCAGCCAAGAGAACATTGTCATAGTTCAATGCACTGATTTTGGGGTTTTTATACCATTATGAATTGTGGAGAATGTGTTTACAGTTTATGCCTGAAGTATTGCAAAATGAGAGCAAGATTAAAGCAGCACTAGATCATAAGCTGGTCAACCTAAGAACAATCAACAAAGACCCCAGGGCTGCTTCACATGATATGGTTGAGTTGAAGAGCTCATTTGATTTTGAGCCAGAGGAAATAAACATGAGAACAGATCAATGGTGGAGAGCAGGGTAAGTTCTTACAGAGGTAAATGCAATACCTGGCTTTGTATCAGACAAATAAGATATAGAGGAAAGTTATGGGGATCTCCACACAATGCAGTCTGAAAATACCTGTTTTTACTACAGGGAGACTGGTCCTACAAAGAGAGATTGTAAGAAGTTTGCAGAATCGGATAAGAGAAATCTAGTGCAATTCCCAGAATAGTATAAGAAGAATCAAAACGGGAAGAACGAGAGTTACAAACAAACCGGAAGTAACAATGGAAGCTATTCTGTTTCAATTGTGGAAAATCTGACCATTATTGCGAGACTGCAGGAGTAAACAGGGTAAAGGTGACTGAATTACAGGAAGTGGAAGAGTAGGGGAACTGAAGAAAACTCTGGCGAACCTAACTGAGAAGATGGCTAAGGAGTTCCAACAGCCAACAGCTGGCAATTCCAGAAATTAAAAAAATTAATTTAGTGAATATTGTTGAATTAATAGAAGTTTAAAATCTTGTAAATGTCCGACCCATTAATGTTGAGTTAACAGAGAGCGTTAAGCCTCAGAGCAAGTTAGAAGAGGAAGTTAGTGATTGGGAGGAGAAATTAATGATAAGCTTGAATAGTATGAAAAGGTTGAAAGAAGAAAACCGTAAAGTTGATTCCAGGAATCTAGTGACAAGTACTTTGGTGTCCAAAAATTTCAGGGAGTCAAAAGTGGGAAAAATGTCAGTGACAAGCAACGTTCAGGTAGGAACAGCGAAAAAAGGAGGAAAAGGCATTAAAGTATTAGGGACAGGAAGAAAATTCAAATTATATTTAGACAGACTGGACCAAGTGTTTGAAGTTGAACCCATAGTGACTAAATCATGCAATGAATTTGGGATTAGAATTCTTTAAACAATACAATGTGAATTTCTAATGTGTGAAACAAGAAGCAAAATTAATAACTGAAAAAGGAAGTCACACAAACTGGAAGTAAGACAATATCCGGAAGTAATACTGGAACCAGAAGTAAGAGAGAGAAAACTGTGGTCAGGGTAGAAAGTGTTCATTCCTACAGGAAGTGCAAAACTAGTGAAAGTCAGAATAGAAGGAGATTGGAGAGGAGAGTGATTTGTAGAATCTATGCTACCAAAATAACAAAATCCAGGAAGAAGATTAGTGCCTCCAAAGACCATCTATAATTTGTCAGGCAAGGAACTAGTTGTCTTTATGGAGAACCACACAGAAGAGGAAGTAGAAATTTGTCCACGTCAAAGGTTAGGGACAATACACAGCTTGGACATTGATAAAGAGGCCTGGTTTAGGAAAGAGTAAAGAGGAAGTAAGGAACCGAAAGTGGAAGAAGATGATGAGGAAACATTATCAAAAAATGTTAATTCTATGCAGGAATCAGACTATCCTACAGAGAAAGTAAGATTTATTTGTTAAAGCTTCAAAAAAGATGAAAACGAGATATTAAACAAAGATAATTGTAGAAGGAAGTGATAAAAATGTTTCTAGACAATTTTTTTGGTTCTGTCGTTACATACCAATTATTATGGGAAAACAGATTTGGTAGAGTTAAAGATAAATCTAGAACCAGGAACAGTTCCCAAGAGATCCAAAGTGAGACCATTGAAGCCATATTAGAAAAGAAACTTGAAGATAGATGAGTGGATTGAGCAAGGGTTCATTGAACCTTCTAAAAGTCCATGAGTTTAGTTCCAGTTAAGAAGAAAGTTGGAAGAACAAGATGGATGACATATCTAAGGCATTGAAATTCTGCAACAGTGAAGGATGCATATCCATTAACAAACATTCTAGAAAATCTCCAGAAGTTAAAAGGTGCCACAATATTTATTTCAATTGACACTTGCGGGTCTAACACTGTATGCAAATCGAGGAAAGCAGGAGAGATTGTATAGAGCCTGTATGGGATATTTTGTTACATATGAATGCTGTTTGGCTTATGTAATGCAGGCAGTGTTTACTTACAGATGCTGGACCTGGCCATGGCTCATCTACCTGCAAAGACTGACCTGGATGACATTCTGGTGTATTCGACAGATCTGTGGGGACACCTGGAGCATCTGAGGAAGGTAGAACAAGCTAATTCTAAAGCAGGGAGCAAGATACAGCCTAGAAAACCAAGATTTTTCAGTCAGAAGTACAGTATTTCAGCATAAAGTGAGTAGAGTTGGAGTGCTAATATTGGAGGATTATATCAGGAATGTGCAGAAATGGCCATGCCCAAGTAGTTGTAAGGAGATGTCCTCATTCCTCAGATTCACAGGATATTATAGGAGTTTCATTCCAAGGTATTCTGCTGTGGCAAATCATATGAATTTGATGAAGAAGGCGTTAGAATTAGAAGTGGACATGGCATGGAAGAAGGAATTTAAACAATTGAAATCAGAGCTCACAGCAGGAAAGATTTAGGCATATCCAAATTTTAACTCCAATGAGCCTTTTATACTCACCATGGACTGGTCTGCTTTGAATATTGCTGGTATACTGTCTCAAAACAGGACATAATGGAGCATTTTATCGGTTGCTGGGGTAGGAAGTGCAACCGATGCAAGAAACATTATCCATCTATGAAGGGAGAACTACTGGCTTTAGTGAAGAGATTGGAGATATGGAAACATATACTGAAGTACCGACCCCCCTTTTTAGTTTATATAGATGCATCCAGCCTGAAGTACATTGTTAGCATCAAATTTGAGGAATGCATTTTTCAACATTGGTTGCAGATTTGGCTCAATTCGAATTCATAATGATACACAAGAAGGGGATCGAGAATGTGAACTTGAATGCAATGTCAAGATCAGATCATTTAGATGAACTAATGAAGAGAGAGAACAAAAAGTATCAGACAGGAAATGAAGTAGGAGAACTCAAGATAACTTATGCTACAGATCTAGAGGCAGATCCAGTCGAGATAGCTAAAGAGAGGCAGAGGTTTGCCGGATATTCGCTCCTGCAGTGCACAGCACGAGTCAAGAAACAAAACATGAGATCATGGAAGGGAAATAGAGTTAAGGAAACTACAAAAAGCCAAAAAATTCTTGAAGGAAGTTAGCCAATGGGTTGTAGAAGGTAAAGCACCACACATGCAAGGATTAAGAGTCAAAGTGCAAGACAGATCTTCAATCCTATGCTGTTTGTGATGAAGGATGGGGTTTTATGTTACAATAAGCACACCAATCCAAAAAACCATACAATGCTTAACATATCTGCCTGCCATAAGCAAGGTTAAAAAAAGAGTTCCAGATATGTCAAGAGGGAATAATTTCTGGACATAGAGGAGTAGCTGGCACATTAGACAACTTCCAGAGAACATTTTTTGTTTTATCAGTTTGGGACAAGCACTCCTATCTCCCCCACCCCCCATCTACCTTGAAGATTAGGACATAGCTATGGAAACGCATAATTAGTTCATGGAAACCCAAGACAAAGGATGAAATCGAGTAGTCAATCAGTAACCCAGGTTCTGATATCATTCTGCAGATGTTACCGGAACACAGAAACCACAGAGAAATCAGCAACAGAGAGGATCCAAATCAAGACACAAGGAAGGATCAAAAGGAGTCAACGATATATCCCGGTTGTATCCTACGAGGAACTAGAGGATGACATAGATGACTTGGATCAGCCTAAACGTTTTAGATATGGAGTCAACTGTCTGTTAGGACAATGCAACTGCATGGAAGAGGAAGGAAAACAAACTCCCCTATCTAGGCACCATTGACCTGGTCTGTATGATAAGGAAGCTCATGCATTCTCTGTTTGCAGTAGAGAAAGGAGAATGGAAAAGAAAGAAGAAAAACCGTGGAGTGTCTGAAGTGTATATTTCAACATTCTTTTCCCCCCTCCCATTTGTAATAAATCAAGAGGCCCATAATATATCTATAAAAAATATTTTGTACATTGTCCATATATCTTACTGTGCGCATTAGTAAATATGTAAATCATTTAATGCGAGTAACCCAATCTGGATACCTAGATATATATGACTCCGTCATTCCCATATTGTGATTGCTTAACTACGTTATATATAGCAATGCATAAGTTGTAATTACACTGTTTAGACCTAACTCTAATCTAACATGAAGAAATATCTTTAGTTGATATAGAGATACTGATTTGATTACTGCCAAGAGAGTAATTTTGTTCTCGTTGAAACATACGATCTATTTGTTTGGCGTTGATAGAGTACGAGTTAGAGTCTGGTTGACATCAATAGCTCATGAGATCATGCAAAGTGGTTTGGCATTGAATGATTAATTGCTAGTGTCTGTGTTGACATTGATGGCTGACAAGATCACTCCCATTGGTTTGGCGTTGATAGATACAAGCTAGTGTCTGGTTAACATTGATAGCTCATGAGATTGTGCCCAGTGGTTTGGTATCTATTGATTAATTTTAGTGTCTGTGTTGGCATCGATAGCTGACAAGATCAAGCCCATTAATTTGGCGTTGATAGTTCACGGAATAGTGTCCGGGTGTTGAAATTAATTGTCAAGCCAAACTGAGTTGTAACTGGATAGATATGGGTCGGAGAACAGTTTATGGAGTAGGGCATTTACTACATGCATGAACAGATAAAGATAAGGAATTATACAGAAAGTAAATTATTTGATCAATATTTATTTAAGTACAAAGTAAACAATACATAGCATCTTCACTTTTTTATATCAAAAAGAAAGAGGACAATTAAACAAATAATCTAAAAACGTAAACTTTAAGAAGAAAGAATTTCCTGCAGCTTGACTGAGAGTACTTTGAGTAAAAGTACAAATCCTTCTCATCCCTTTAAGTTCCGATCAAGATGAAAAAGTGTACAATTAAGAAAAGTGAAGCTTGGACGAAAAGTGCAATTCAACTGTTTTTTTTGTTTACTAGAAATGTTTTTATTTTTATCATTAGTCAGGTTTTTGCAACCGATGCACTTTTAAAATTTCCATAAATTCAGGTTTAAAAAACCAAAATAATTTTGAAAAAAAACATATAACTTTTATTTTAAGTTTTCTGGCTCAATATACCTGGTTTGTGATTGCCAGTCATGGTATTCCTTTTTCTTACTTCCAATTACAATCAAAACCACTAAACCGATTTGGCTCAAATTTGATTAAACTATTCATATCTAAAGGGATGGTTTTTGTTTGGATAGGATCACGAAAGAAAACTTTATCTGAAGTGGTAAAGTTAATTATAAATTATGAAAATGCTAGCTTCTTCATCTGAGTTTCCTTTTAAAGCAAGTTCGGGTCTCAGGATCCATAGAATCCAAATCTAAAGATAAACATGTCAATATAAGCATGTTCATTTAGTTTAATTTTTTGATTAAATAAAAATACCTGAACTTGTTGTTACAAAATAGGGTACTATTTCTATGTCGTGATTACTTCCGGCATTTAACATTAGAGATTTAACCTGATTTTAAAATAAGTGTTTTTTGAAAATGAAAAACCTAGTCAATAAAGTAAAAAAATGATAATTAATTTGTACATGCTAGATACGTAGAACTTGAATAATTTCAAATTTTCATTTTATTATATTTTATTGACTATTTTACAAATTAAACATTTAATAGAAATCTTTATCAAGATTCAAACTTATCTATAAATAGTTCTAGCTTCACATGTTAAGGTCTTACTTTTAAAAACACTATTAATAATTAAGTAATGCATTGGTCCTGAAACATCACACAAGATGAAAAAATCTAATTGGATTAATTGTATGGATAGTTCAAACTTAATTAAAATTGGAACTGAAACAGATTCAGGTCAGTAAGGGTTTACAGAAACTTGTCCAGTGCTTAACCTTTTCTTAAAGTTTCAAGGGGACTTTGCCCCCGATTGGAGCTAAATAACCCATGGAAATCATACTTTTCACTTCTCTAAGAGGGGGACATGAGTTTGCAACACCCACAGCCCCTCCCCTCATTTTGCACCTGTGCATCTGAGTATTGAAATTTTCTGATATGCTGAGAAAAATCTTAAATTTTTGAAGTCCAACACTGCTGCAATTTACAAAGACTAAAAATAAAAGCCACAAATGAGTATGCCATAAGCATAAAATGTTTTGCAATTTATGCAGAACTGCCTTATTAAGCCTTTTGCTCAAAAGGCCCTGAACACCTTTGTTTCTTTGTACTTAACGACCATTTCCTCTTGTAATCAGAGAGAGTGTGTTTGGCACCTCCTCTTGTTTCTACTCCATACTACTCTCATATTTTGTTTAAACTTTTACTTTGAAAGTTCTTAACATTTCAGAAAAAATCAAGTAATTTTCCGTAGTATGTTTTTCCAAAGCTATTTTTCAAAATTAAACTTTCTATATATTAGATATATACTTTAGGTCTAAGTTTTTTCTTTGTAATTCTGTTCAAATATTCAGATCACCCCCCCCCCTCAGACGTGCCGGCTAGTCTTTATAGGGTTAACTAACCTGAAGTGTTGGAAACTCATCTGATTCTCCAACATACATTAGAAAACCATTCGCATCTCCCTCAACGGTTCCAAAACTAATAAACAAGGTTGGGATTGATCTTGTAATATTTGAAAACATTCCAATTCATCTTCAGAAAGGGAATATATCTCCATGACGGAAACAATCTCAAGAACTGACAAGGGTCAACCCAGATCGAAATATTATTTTAATAAGATGTGAAACTAACATTTACTTTAATTACTCCATGAGGGTTGGACCATCATCAACACTTAGTTTTAAAATGTAATGAATGACTTGCCTGATGATATCTGAATGTTGATCCAGCATAAAGGATAAGCCATTTCCTTTTCCTAAAATAAGTCAAAACATATGATTGAATGCATACTGCATATATCTGGTACTACATACTGGCCCTGTTTTGATGTTTTTTTTGTTAAAATATTTCTTTCTTTTGTGATTCAACATATTTTAGATTAAAGTTACTTTTTCTCAATGTGTGTAACCTGTAATGATAGAGAGTGGGTCTTTTTGAATATCTTTGAAACCTTCCATATCTTTGTAATTTAACTGGTTTAGCATTCTAGTGTAGTTGGATTCACGAAGGGTTTCCTGGCTGTTAAAAGCACAACATATTCCTATGTCTAATCCAGACACATTCATTTTTGCCTAAAGCAATTGATCTAGATATCTTATACATGTACACTGTGCATTATTGATTCTTTTATATGTATGATTTACTCATTTCTTTTTTCAGGTACCAGATTGTTATAAATAGCAAGGAGAGCTAAACCGTGTAGACAAAGTTCAACCATTTTTCTTGTGCACCGGTTCAAGCTAAAGAGGAATGGATTAACCCCTTCTTTTTGGTTCAACCATGTATTGCTATTCATAAAATCTGGTCCCAGAATCTTTTTCAATATTTATTATTAAACAAATATATTTTCAATTTGAGAGTGACTAGTTCCTGTTGGTGAAGGTTTGAATATTTTCCTGCAGTCCATCGCTTTACCTCCAAACTACAGAAATATAATAGATTATATTTATAATAATTCATATTAGAAAAGGGGTAAATATTTTAAAAACCTTATCCTCCTCTTGCCTGATCCTGTACCTATTTTCCCTTATTTTGTCTTGCTGAATCCTTTCCCTCCTTATTGAAAATTCATCTTTCCGCAATAGTACTTTAAATGTTAATAAAACCAGAAGAGTATGAAAAGGATTATTTAATAAAAAGAAGGAATGACATCTACTGATCACTTAAAAATCTAAGAACTCTAACCGTATCATTTTAAATCTTACTGTCAAAAGAATGGTTTGAATATAACCTGGCAATTTTGTATCAAGCTGTTACTGCTCACATATGTTGGAGAGCAAGGAAGTTTAGAGTACCACAACAGTTTAAAAATTTCTTCGTATATTTTCTAAATATCAAGTTGGCTTAAGACTTTTAGGTTGTTAACATTAATTTCTTGGAAAATATAAAAATATATAGACTTTTACATGATTAATTTTTTTTAAAGTTTAAGCATCTTTATTATTTATTATTTAAATTCCCCATTTCGTGGAATTTCCAAGATCACTTATATTTTTGAGAAAGGACAGTTTACCTTGATGTTTTTTGTGATAAAAGATTGTGTATCATCGGATTTAAGCTTTGCTTCACTAGAACACAATTCTTTAAATTTGATCAAATTGATTTGATATGACTAAAAATTCATTTATTTTGTGAATTGTTAGTCTTCTAAATTAGAAGAATTCCTTGTTCTGGTTTGTGACTTGTCTGGGTTTAAAAATAGATCTATTGTCTCCAGATCAGAAGGAATATTGTCACTTTCGGTCACTGCTATATAAAAAGAAAAAAATAATATTATCTGTGAAATTAATTATCTGCAAACAATAACAATTTTTCATTGACTTTCTTTAAAAAATATTTGTTGAAGTTTCATATAGAATTTATCTAAAACATATTGTATGAAAAACTTGTTCTATACCTCTCTTTCTCCTAGTTCTGCTTCCATTTACTCCATTATTGTCAGTGTTTTTTTCTTTTTCATTATCAATTGCAGTTTGCGCAGAAGTTGTGATTGCTTTATTAGTGACTGCTGTTGCAGTAGATTGGTAATTTTGAGAAGTTTCTGTAGGAGTTGTGATCACTTCATTAGTGACTGCTGTTGCAGTAGATTGGTAATTTTCAGAAGTTTCTGAAGGAGTTGTGATCGCTTCATTTGTTACTTCTGTTGCAGTAGATTGGTAATTTTCAGAAGTTTCTGAAGGAGTTGTGATCGCTTCATTTGTTACTTCTGTTGCAGTAGATTGGTAATTTTCAGAAGTTTCAGAAGGAGTTGTGATCGCTTCATTTGCTACTTCTGTTGCAGTAAGTTGAATATTTTCAGTATTTTGGATTGGTACACTTTGTGATGTGTCAACACTACTCTTTATTGAGCCGTTTACTAGGATAATTTGATCTAGATTCAGATGAAGCTGGCTCACGCTAAATAAAATATTAGAGTTCAAAATATTTTGCAGTTTTAATAGTGAACTAAATCAGTAGGTTTAAATGTATCATTCACTATCTACTTAAATCCCCTCTAGGTTAAAATTTAAACCCTGGAGATTAGATTCAATTGAAATTCAATGATAAAAAGCACAGACGGTTAAGGTTAAAAACATTGAGTAGAATGATATGAAACAATGAAGTTTTCAAAAGAAGAGTTGTAAATTGTCTAAAAAATCAGCAGGATACTTGAAAACTTTCTAATCTAAAATACTTGAAAGTTTAAAAAATATTGGTTAGATTAAATGACAATAGTTTTTAAGAGGTATTTTACCTCATAGTTTTCTCAATGTTGCTGGAACTCATAGCATAAACTAGATCAAACAAATCAATGGTTGTTTCGTTTGAGATCATAAATTTAGCTGAAATATATTCTTTCATCGCAAGATCTGTCGCTGCAGCTTCTAAATTATTAAACATTATTGTGGATATTTAAGGGATTATCAACATGGATTTAGGAGAAACTTCATTTAAAATAATAATTTTTTTAAACTGTTTTATGTAATTATAATTCCAAGTAAAATTGCCAAGTGGGCTGGCTTTTAGAATTTCTATTTGGAAATTGTTGCCTTTAATTAAAAATAATACTGTCTTTTCATCAAAATCCTACCATCAGTAATTGAAGAGTTTTTGTCTTTTTCATTTTCCAGTCTCCATTCTTCAAAATCCCTAAGGTTGAAATCATAATTAGTTTGTAGCTAAAATAGAAATTTAAAAATTAATTTTCCTTAAAAGTGCATTCCCAACCGCTTCCAGGTCCAGTCCTTGGCTGCATATTGTTACTGTAGGAAATGTTTCACCACTGATCAAACATTTTAAACATTTTAAGTAGTAAAATTTAGTTTATTTCATATACTGATTTTAGATGAAAAATATATATAATATGTTCAAATTACCTTTTATTTGTCATACGTCTTAAAGAAGGCTCAAAACTTTAGTAAAAATGATAATAAATTGACAGTGTGACACATTTTTAAGTTCATGACCAATTTCTTTTTAAATGTTGTATGATTTAATCACAATTGATTAGCTCTACATTTCCCATTTTCCCTCATAAATCTTTTTAAACTAAATATTTATATTTCTACTTCTAATTTAAACGTTGTATTTGTTTTGTCAAATTAATGTGATTACAGGAATGTTTTAATTCTTATCTTGAAAATAGTTTTTCTGCAATTTACACACAACCTGCACAAAAGATATAATAATCTAACAAAATTCATTGTTTGAAATATCTAAGGTCTGCAACATTTGGTTTTAAAGATATAGTTATTAGAAAATCAGAATTTGTGAAAAAGACTCAATTCCTTTGTAAATAATCAAAGTTCAAGTCAACCTATAAACATGTGCCAATGAAACCCAAAGAAGATATGATTTCTAGTTTTCGGAAAGTGAATTCCATTCCGGAACATTAGAGGCTCTATATGAGACCATTGAAGATTTAATAAATATAATTAATGTTAATATTAACATACAAATGTTAATGTTAATTGATATTAACATATAAATAAACATCAATTGTTTAAAGTCAATGTTAATGTTTATGTTAACTTTATATACTGACAACCATAAACTTTAATGAATTGTTTAAACTCAATGTTAATTTTATATACTGACAACCACAAACTTTATTGAATTGTTTAAACTCAATGTTAATGTTAATATTAATGTTAATGTTAATGTTAATGTAAATGTGGTACGCGAGCCATGCTGCGTGTATGAAGTCTATGTGATGCCCCTGTGAGTTTCTGAGTTCTCCCTGCGGATCTGTACAGAATGTATTGTGAAAGAACTAGTTTTAGGAACTGTTTACAGACTGACTACGCAGGCGAAAGATTTCTCGCGGAGGAGTGAATAGTTTATATCAGTATATGTTTATTCGTCTTGCAAGTTTTAACCGTGTCCAGAATTCTGGGATCACTGTGGTAACTATTTTTTATATATAAATATATTAGGTCTTTAGGGAAATCGCTAAGTAGCGAAACAAAATGTTAATGTTAACTTTATATACTGACAACCACAAACTTTATTGAATTGTTTAAACTCAATGTTAATGTTAATATTAATGTTAATGTTAATGTAAATGTTAATGTTAACTTTATATACTGACAACCATAAATGTTATTGACTTGTTTAAAGTCAATATTAATGTTAATGTTAACATTATATACTGACAACCATAAACGTTATTAAATTGTTAAAACTCAATGTTCATGTTAATGCTAATGTTAATGTTAAAGTTAATGTTAACCTTATATACTGACAACCATAAACATTCATGAATAGCTTAAAATTAATGTAAATGTTAATGTTAATGTTGATATACAGACCATTAACGTTATTGAATTGTTTATAGTCAATATTAATGTTAATGTTAATGTTAACTTTATATACTGACAACCATAAACTTCAATGAATTGTTTATAGTCAATGTTAATGTTAATGTTAATGTTAATGTTAACTTTATATACTGACAACCATAAACGTTATTGAATTGTTTAAACTCAATATGTTAATGTTAATGTTAATGTTAATGTTAATGTTAATGTTAACTTTATATACTGACAACTACAAACTTTATTGAATTGTTTAAACTCAATGTTAATGTTAATGTTAACTTTATATACTGACAACCATAAATGTTATTGACTTGTTTAAAGTCAATATTAATGTTAATGTTAATGTTAACAGTATTTACTGACAACCATAAACGTTATTAAATTGTGTAAACTCAATGTTAATGTTAATGTTAATATTAATGTTAATGTTAACTTTATATCATGACAACCATAAACTTTAATGAATTGTTTAAACTCAATGTTAATGTTAATGTTAACCTTATATACTGACAACCACAAACTTTATTGAATTGTTTAAACTCAATGTTAATGTTAATATTAATGTTAATGTTAATGTTAATGTAAATGTTAATGCTAACTTTATATACTGACAACCATAAACGTTATTGTAAACTCAATATGTTAATGTTAATGTTAATGTTAATGTTAATGTTAACTTTATATACTGACAACCACAAACTTTATTGAATTGTTTAAACTCAATGTTAATGTTAATATTAATGTTAATGTTAACTTTATATACTGACAACCATAAACGTTATTGACTTGTTGAAAGTCAATATTAATGTTAATGTTAATGTTTACATTATAAACTGACAACCATAAACGTTATTGAATTGTTTAAACTCAATGTTAATGTTAATATTAATGTTAATGTTAATGTTAATATTAATGTTAATGTTAACATTATATACTGACAACTATAAACGTTATTGAATTGTTTAAAATCAATGTTAATGTTAATGTTAATGTTGATGTTAACTTACTGAAAAGCATAAACTTTAATGAATTGTTTAAATGTATCTTCTGGAAACGAAGGTAACGTAAAATTGTCAACATGAAAATCGGAAATTTAACCATTTGCCAACTTGCCATTATGTAAACCGGATGTTATCAAGTTTCCAATACGGAACTAGGAAATTTTCTAGTATCCCTTACTCTACTATTATCATGATATCTTTCAAGCAAAACGAAAAGGAAAATTCTTAAGAGACAGGATTTGCTACTTGAAGTTGTGGTCCATAGAGTTCAAATAAGCAGATGCAGCTATAAAAGTTAACAGAAAATTATTCATAACATTATCGACATGATTAAGTTTTGAGAGAGGTGTGAAATGGGTCTCTTTAAACTATGGTATTCAATTTCAAAGCTTATAGATTTAAGAACTTTTTGCAGATAATTTGTTTAAAATTGTCCCTAATTGGAGCCGCTGAGCTTGTGAGCGTGGTGAGAACCTGATTTTCTCTCCATTCATTGAAACCCTTATATTATTCTGATTTATAAAAAGAAGTTGAATTGGCCAACGCTTCTACTTGACAATGTCAAATATTCAGAATGCATTAAGTTAAAAAAGATTTTGGATTTGGATTTCCCGAAAACGCTTGTATTATAAGCATAGAGAATAAAAAATATATTAGAGAGGAATTTACTAGAAAAAAGTGTAAAACGGCCATTTTGTTTTACTGTTTTTATACTGCAGGTGTACTTCACATATTTATGCTATATAACCTTTTGGGCCCTGGAATATCATTTTATAGAAAATCTAAAATTATTGTTAAAAGAAAACCAAATTATGAAATAGGCTGGTTTCATAATTGACCAATGATCATTTCACATAGACTCTATGCCTTCCACTTTA